GGGCTGGCCGGCCTCAAGGAGCGAAATGTGGTAAAGGCCTCTGGGGTCCTGAGGTTTCATGTCTTTGACTACTTTACTGTCTTCTTTGGGCATAATGATGAGGATTACTCTGAGTTTTACCTCTCTAATCTAACAATGGCCATCCATCTTCATCATTACACGGCCATTGCTGTTTCTCTCACATAGAGAGACGTTTGGTGGCCCTGTAGGGTTGCGCCATAATCTTTTGGTTTCTCGAACTTTTCTATCTCTTTTTTTGTCGATTAATTAAACAGCTGTGTGATATCCTTATTTTCCCAGCTGTATGAAATCCAGATTATTTCTTATGTGAACTATGAAGGATTCTTTTATTTGCATGTGTTCATTTGTTTAACAAATACTCAACAATAGTTGAAAAGTGCACATTAATTCAACCACTCAGAAAATACCAGCAACCTCCACCCTCCCCCTAATACAACAAAATGTATTGTCACTATACCAGCAACTTTTCTTCAGAGTTGTCCACTTGCTGATGTGGTAACATACTGGACCTGGATGATCCGATAATATAAGTCTACCATAGCCATATTACAAACTCCCCACCCCTACTAGTACCACTGGATGCTCTTGTAACTCTTCTGACAACAGACAGTCCTCCTCTTCTTGTTATGTGCCCCCTTTTGTCTGCCAAGCATGCCCACCACTCACATCCAGCTCACATCCAGTCTGCGTGTTCATGTCCTCACTCAGCCAACGGCTCTCGATCACTCTCCGTCGCCTCATTCTGTCCAGATCCATCCTGTCCCTTTGCTGTCACTCAGTCAGCGGGCAGCTCGTTGACTGTTGCATGACTTCTTCACTTTGTTTCAGTATGAGGGGATTGTAGATCTTAGATTGTCTGACTAGTTTGTGGTTTCTCCCCCCCCCCCCCCCCCACTCCTCGCTGTGTTCTCAACCATCAAAAGTTGAAAAGGAAGAGCTCTTCATGGTGGGTGACGGCGTTTAATAAGGATATTAATGATGTCACGGCTGGTGACATCATCAGTGTGCCAGCCAGCAGACCAAAAGAGGGCTCTGCCCGGTCTTCCTAGCTGTCTTGGAGAGAGAGAGAGAGAGAGAGAGAGAGAGGGAGAGAGAGAGGGAGAGAGAGAGAGAGAGATTCGGCTTTCACTTTAATTCTGCCTCTCTATTCACATATTCAAATTTTCCTGTGTGAGCATTTTTGATTTGTTCTGCCGACTTTGTATCTCTATTAAAGCACTCCGTCAGTTCGTGCAGGATATCCAGTGATTTGGCTCCCCACCCCAAATCTTCGCCGCTATTTAAAATGTATTGTTTTCACAAAGATGCCTGTGCCCAGCCTCTGTTGTCTCTCTCCTCTCTCTCTGCTCCCCTCTCTTCACTGTCTCTCTCCATCTCTTCCTCCCTCACCCTTGCTTTCTTTCTCCCTCGCCTACATCTCTATCTGTCCTCTTACAGGACTCGGAGAGAAAGGGCTTCATGAACAAGCTTTATGCCATTCAGGACGTGTGCATCAGTGTGCAGAATGCACTGGATGAAGTGGCCTCCTATGGCGAGAGGATAAAGAAGTGAGTCGTAAGCCCGCTCCTCGGCATCGGGCCCGCTTCGCTCAGCTCCGCATGTCCCAGTGTTTTTTCTGCAGTGCCAGGTTGCCCCGCTTAGCCTTGCCAGCCTAACCGAGTATAACTCAGTTCTGCTCTCAGGAAACGCTGCCAGCGTGACACCCAGCCCCGAGAGACAAACACACAGGCTGTCTGTCTTTGTGTCTATCACATCTCACTTAACCCTGCATGACCTCTTAACTGAATCATGTACATACTAGATTAAACACATCACTCCACATGCACACACACACAAAACCATTCATTCACTGTACACTGCTACATACACAGGTGCTCCTATTTTTAAATAGATACATACAAAGCAAAGGGATTTTAGTGTTGATTAAAATCCTTAATAAAAAAAGAGTCGGGCTACAGGTTACTCCTACTGGTTATATTTAAAAGCATTTCAAATCAAGCTGTCCCATTTGTGACCTGTGCTTTTGTAAAGTTGAGAGCAATTTACTGATTAGATAGAGTGACTTGTATTGAGGTATAGCCCATTTTTACCCTGCTATGCTGACCTGTAAGACTTCAGGGTGAAGTTATTTCCCTCTGCACAGTTCCAGTGAATGTGATGAATTTGCTGTGCAGGGGCATCCAGATCACCTTGTTTGGGTTGAAAAGAAATAAAATGCCCCCCCTGACTCCACTCTCTCTACTCTTTCTCGGCGTGTTCGGCTGGACTGAGCTTTGCCATGCCTCCTAATTTTTTTTACAGTCTTTCTCCTCTCTTTTCAGCACATTCAACTGGACTGTGCCTTTCTTAAGCTGGCTGGCCATTGTGGCTTTCGGAGCAGCCACCATCACCATCTACTATATCCCTCTACGATACATTGTGCTAGCCTGGGGTGAGCTAATGTGTACTGTTTATTTCCATGTACTGGAAGTGTAAAGATAAAGTTAAATGTAAATACCGTAGCGAAGTAAACCTGTGGCAGAGCAATGCAATTTCTATGTTTCATGCTGCTTTTAATGTTTTGTATCGGGGGGGACAATTAATAAATGTGATGCACATTTTCAGAGTACAACCACAAAGGTGTTAACAACTTGTTCAACATGCAGTGTGTGCTGATGTCCACCTCTCTTTTCCATCTCTTCCCTACTTGCCCCCACCATTTTTCTCTCTCGACAGGGGTGAATAAATTCACCAAGAAGCTGCGGGACCCTTACACTATTGATAACAACGAGCTGCTAGACTTTTTGTCCAGAGTGCCCTCAGATGTACAAGTGGTGGGTGAACTTTCCAATTTCATCTGTGTCTCATCTCTGATATCTTTTTGACAGCACATCGGTCAGTCCCAGACATGGGCAAGGGTTAGGGCTCCTTTTATTATCTCCTCTATCTAACTCTTTCTCCTTTCTTTATTTTTCCTCCTCTCAGCCGTTGGCGCCTCACTGTTGTACTTTTCATGTAGGGTGAACTGACTATCCATTCTTTAAGCCATGCAGACATCTAATCTAATTGTTTCAAAGTCGTTCCTGTGTTTTCCTATTAATAGCTTCCTAGTCTAATTCAATTTCCACATACATAGCTGGAGCTGTGTAATAAGATAACGAGGTTAAGTGAGTTTAGTGCCCAGCATATAACTAGGTTGATTGACTCCATACACTCGCACACAATTACAGTTAGCTGTTGTTTCCCAGCTATGCTAGTAATTGGAACGGAGTGTAAACCAACAGTTAACCAGCCCCATGCGGTTTTGCTTCTACATTAACCGTGAGATCAGATTAACTTTGTGGCTGAAGACTACAGATGCTTCGTTAGGGAAAATATAGGTGTGTAGGCATGTGTAGTTTGTGTGTGTTAACAGTAACGTGCTGTGCTGCTCAGGACAAAGTGCAGTTTAAACTGCAATTAAGCGGCAGCTTGTGAAAGTCGTTGTGTTATCCAGCACCGATGGTGTCCGCTGTGGCCGTTAAGCCCTGCTGTGCTGAGTTCACTACACACGCACATGAACGCACACTTAAACGCACATGCAGGCTGAAGCTGACCCGGGGCCTCTGGTACGACCAATCCCCTGCCACATCAGCGCTGACACACTTCCTCTTTGATCGCTTGTTGCCGCAACTTCTTTCATCTTTACAGGGTCATAATCCTTGCTCCCCTACACACCCCCGCTAACCCCCCGTGTTCTCCCCCTTTCGGCCCCCGTGCAGTTTTACAGCTCCATAGTTTACTGAGGCCTGCTGCAGCAGTAGGCACAAGGCAGGTAGCCACAGGGTTAAATGAGCCTAAGCTGTCCCCTCTGGTGAAGTGCAGCCACCTTACACACCTGGAGACAGGGGGAGCGGAGCAGTGAAGGGGCCCAGGCCCGGCAGGTATGAGGCCTTTACAAGGCCCCTAATGAGGGCCTGCTGGCTAGGGAAGGTGGGGGCAGACATGCTGCTCTGGTCTGGTGCCCGTGCTGCTGGAGTTGTGCCTACTGTATAAGTTATACTGTAAGTGCTACTGTAACAGTTATTGCTGCAGTTGCTGGAATGGTAATTGTTGCCAGGTTTCACTGACAGTTCGTAGGCTTACCGAGTAATGAGGGAAAGACCAAGGGAGAGGGGTAAGAATAGATTTCAGGGAGAAAAGATGAGGATGGAAATGGAGACAGAAAGTACAAGTAGAGTTGATTGAATATTGGAGATGACTAGTTTCTTTATTTAAAGCAGGGTAGCCTTGTTTGCATTGATAACATAAGGTCAATGAAATTTAGATTCACTGCTCAGTCAGCTGATGAAGAACTGAGACCTGCACTGATCACTTTCTCACTGAATCCAAAGGTTAATTTTCTGCGACGACACCCCGCTCGGCAGTCGTTGGCTAAAAACGGAGCAGAACGTTCTGCTCTGCGATGCGTCCCTTCAGCTGCCTGCGATGTTGGGTTCACCTCATTGCCTGCCCCCGCCTTACTGGGTCAAAGCCGCCTGTGGGGATCAAGCCCTTTAGGCTCTTGGATGATGCAGAGAGATGCTGGGGTCCAAATGGAGCGTCTCTTCCACGGGCACGTGTCCATAGCACCCACTGGCATTGGTGCTGGGGCCCACTATGCCTGATACTCTGGATGACTAATGAAGTGCTATTTCAGGGACCCGGTGTGACCTAGCGCACATACATAACCACACACACACACACACACACGCTCTCCCAGTAGTAGTGCGTGTGAGGCAGGCTCGGGGTGTTTCAATGCAGTGTTCCGCATCATTTAGAGGTGCTTCAGTGCAGCCAGAACTGATGAGGTCCTAATGACTTTATATATAAAGGGCATCCACACTGGGCCACAGTCCATCATAACGTATGTCGCTGAACAGCACCACAGTAACTGGAGCAGCTTTAGGACTCTCATAGTTTTCTCATCTTTCATTTCTCTTTAATAGTGTACATAAAAGAGTTTTTGCATTTAACAATACCAACTTCTCATTGGTTGTACAGTTAACGGAAGGTACGTTAGTCTTGAAAACCAAGCTCTTTAAATCAATGACACTGGGCCCCTAACAGCTCTGTCAAACACCCTTTAAAAACTAAACTCTCAGTGGTGCATGGGAGCTGCAACAGGCAAAGTTACCTTTTTTTACCACCTGAACAGTTTACTTAAATCATTATGTCCCTGTGAGCAGCAATGCTAAAGGCTGGCATGGTATGTGTAGTGCATGTCTGCGCGAGAGACTCGCTGTCCCTCCCTGGGTAACGGTTTCTTGTCGCTGGTTTGGCTCTTTTACCAGCGTTGGCTATCGTTACGGTCATTATCAGGGAATCCTTCATGTCCTCTTAAACGAGGCAAAACTGAGCACCTTTATAGAGCTGAGTATTCCCTACCTGGCGTTTGGGAGGTGTCAGTGCACTAGTATGTTTTACGACACCATTAGCCATGTGAGCTAGGGAGTGCGTAAGTAAGGCCAAGGCAATTAGCATGCCAAGTGGCCCTTTATGGTGTAAGGGAGCTGGATCAAACCCCCAGTACAAAAATAAGCATGCATTCCAATTTAGTGCCTAATGAGCAGTGGGGAGTCAGGTTAATATTTTTAGAAAACATTTATGTTGGGGATGAAGCCTCATTGGACTTGAGGGTCAAAGGCAGGATAGTTAAGAGGTGGAAACGTTGCCAGATGCCATCACTTACATCTACCAGAGGTCTCTCTCTCCTCCGCTGTGTCCTTCCCCACTTTTGTGACAAATTTAAACATTCCACTGCAAGTGGCCTCTTAGTCACTATTCAGTATGTGTCGTGCCACAGCAGCTAATAGGCAAAACTTTCTTTACTTAGTGGTTTTTTTTTTTGCTCACTGATTTATGTCACCTTGACATGCCTTTCCTTTCCCAGCAAGTGCTGAATCCTCCGATGTGCAGATGTGTGAACTATACACAATAGTGTTTCCCTGGAAACATTTAATAACCCTTATGCTCCATTAGGCGTCACATGAGATGAAACCCGCTGAGTTTTGTGCTCTGTGGAAAGGACTGGAAAACAGAATAACATAGTATCATTAAAATGTTGCTCCCTTGCCTTTCTTGACTTGAGTTATTTACTCGCCTATTTGCTTTTTTTTTTTTTTTTTTTTTTGCTCACTGTCACCCACCTTGGTTTTGCCTCGCCTGTCTGCCCACACTGGCATCATCAAAACACAGTCAAAGGTTCAATGTAAGAGGGAATGAGAGACAGGGAGAGAGGAGCAGGTCCCGGGATGCTTTGTGGGTAACACCGTTAAACGAAGCTCGGTACACAGCGCCCCTTCAGCAGAGCACACTTCAAAGCCTGTTTTGCACTTGTACTGTCAACATTTGCGAGAGGAGAGGAGAGGAGCGAGGGTGGAGCAGCCTTTTTGAGCAGCGCTGGGTCTTTACCCACTGCCTCTCCTGTCGATGTTCCCTTTAAGCTCCCCACTCGCGCTACCAAATTGCTTATGCGCTCTCCGCATTACCACACTTTTTTTTTAACTTTCACCCAATTCCGGTTTCTTTTATTTTGCTAACGTCCCACTTTCTCCTCGCCTACTCTGCCTTTTCTTCTCTTCTTGCCTCCTTTTAACTAGCTCTTGTTGTCTGCATGGGTTTGTGTGCTTCTGTGTGCGTGTGTTATTAGGTGAGGTGAGCGGGGGAGCCAAGGGTATAGCGTCAGGCGGGCCTGTCACCTGTAAGGTGCAATTGAACCTGTGACGCATGAGCTCCATTTCTCTTGGCTGGCAGCTCTTCACAGAGAAAACTCATGTTTGATTGAGATATTGTTTTTTTTCCTGCACCCTTTGTTTTTGTCGATCCCCTTCGCTACTCTTCATGAGAAACAGAACCCTACTTTCTACTGACATGCAAACTTTTCTTTGTTTTTTTCGGCGCTCACAAATAGTTTTGTTTGGAGAGGAACGTCAACGCGCAGAATTAAATCGCTGTGTTCCTTTGTGCTGCTGTAGGCGTTTGGCCGTGTAATGGGACCACTAACAGCCAGTGATCCCGCACAATACCTGTCCTACTTTTGGATCCGTGGTAGATGGCTTAACGCTGGCAGCCAACGATGAGTGAGAATGAGTTGCATATAGGAACAGAGTGTTTTTGTGAATTTGCTTGCAATTATTTAATATTAACAGACATGTCCTTGCAACTGCGATACATGGCGGATGTGCTGTTACTCTTTCACTCATGAGTGAATTCAATCATTCAACCATTCACTCACTTCTCCATCCATTGTCACCACTATCATTGAACAGTTAATGTTGGCACCGTGCCAGGACTCTCATGGTCCCCTAACCGAACTACAACTGTGCGCACGCACACACACACACACACACACACACACACACACACACACACA